AACAACAGTAATAAAACAAGGATTTGGCATCCCTAATGTGTATCTCTGTAAAAATTCTGGAGGTATAGCCTCCCATATATCCTTGGTTTGCTTTCACAGCTCATGTACTCCATTGGACGGACTTGGATACTTAGTAAGCTGTGCTTTTTGTTGATTTCGCAAATTCTCCATGAGATTAATGTCCGCGGATTGTGGAGGTCATTTCAAATGAGCAAATTTTTGCTTTTGTATCCAGTCTTTGCGAACATGTACTATGTGTATTGGGTGATTTTTCGGCAGAAACTCTAATTTTTTAGACTAATGCGTACTAACGGCCAACAACATTTTTAAAATACAACCCAAAACTATTATTGACCGACCACTGTGATTCACAGTTCGCCTTACATGATGCGCTTAGGCTTAATTTGGCTCTTTGATCCAATACCATGCCCGCCCATCTGATTGAAAGCGATTAATTAAGTCTTGTCAGACCAAATAACCTTCAATTAATGCTCAAAAATGTGATTTTTTATTGCATTCTGAAATGCCTAACATATCCCAGTAGGCAACGGTCCGGTTTTCGTGCCATACAGCAAAATGCTACCACCCTCGCACATGTGTTTTGATCAAAATTGTCTTTTTCTTCTTTTATGCTGCTTTTGCGCTCAATTTGGCAATTATTCGCCTCGCTGTCTACTGATTTACATTCAATTTTAATACCTTAAGCGCTTCTGTAATAGTGGCTGCAGCGCTACGTGCTACTAAGTTCATAAGATATCGGACCGTAATATTTTTTACAGACTTTTTTGTCCTAAGCAACACTTTAGGCTATATTTTTTCTCAGTCTTAGCATTTTCATGTGGCAAACTCCACAATTTTATGCCACTTTTCCTGTGGTCCCGCCTTTCCGCAGTAAATCTATTATTTAAATTTATTTTTCCTGATTAACCATATTATTTACTGGTGATAACTTCTTGAATAAATTACAATACAAAAAAAGGCATCTGACTTCCAACTAAGTAAAAGATAACTGTAAAATGCAAAACTGAGAGTGAGTGCAAAACTGTAACATTTGTCTTAATTTACATTTTTGTTTGCAATTTTTTTATTGTTGTTGGATTGACTTCAAATCGTTATGAGAGAGGGAGTAGGGGTGTACCAATAAGAATATACAACAAAAGTATAAATGTCGTTAGAACTTGGAAAGATAGCGGTGGCTGAAATAAAAAGTGTTACACCATGTTACAGTTTTGCTCGTCACTGTATATGAATCGATTTCGTTTTCTAACTTATCAAAATAACTTCGTTACGTTTCAGAGCTAAATTAAGAAAACAAAACTCAAACGTTAGCGTTGAAACGAAATAAATTACCAATCGTTAACATTGAAACAAAATAAATCAACGAAAAGTTGTTTTTGCATGCCATTGCCTCTTTGTTAACACCTAGCACCTAAATGCATGCTACAGCTTCAGCCGTAACGATTGAATTTCTTTTCATTAAAACCCAAAATAAAATTATTTTGATAATTGAAGCGATTGCTTTTTTTTCGGTAAACGCTAGAATTAATTAATCGATTCAAAACTTTGAGATATTTATGCCTTATTTTATTTATCTATGTATTTCTAGAGCGGTAGCGGCTTATTTGCGAGCTTTAAGTTTATCACCAAATAATGCGGTTGTTCATGGAAATTTAGCATGCGTCTATTATGAGCAAGGGCTGATTGATTTGGCTATTGACACCTATAGGCGTGCGATAGAGCTGCAGCCTAACTTCCCAGATGCTTATTGCAATTTAGCCAATGCACTTAAAGAAAAGGGACAGGTAATTTTTGTCAATATGAAATATCATAAATATTCCATTAACACACTGGTCAACAAAATTTTGAGGCTTAGGTTTTAAGACCTGATTCCTAGTGATGTGATGAATTTTCGGTACCCACTACTTTAAAAAAATGTTGGTACCCAATACTTCCTTTTCGGTACCCGATTTGGAAAAAAATTATTTCATTGCTATTTACATGCCATCGCCTTAAAAACAAAAAGTACAAATAATACAGTGCTTTTTCAAAAGATGAGCAAGCACAGGTCCTATATACATTAGGGTGATTCAGATTTTTTTTTTTCCTCGGAACCATGCTCAAAAGTTTTGTTTAGACGCCAAAATAAGTCTCAGAAAATATGCGCCCTTAATATTAATATTAAAAATGTCAACTCACTTTTCGATTTCCCATAGAATAACACAGGAAAAATAGTTTTTTTTTTAATTCTTGAATAACTTTTGATCCAGTTAACTTATCGAAAAATAATTTCAGACCTTTTTTGTAGAGCGTTCAATTCTCTCAAAAAGACTCCAAGATCTTTACAGTACAACGTATCGTTCGTTAAATATAAAAATCAGAAGTGAAAAAAAACATTTTTTCTGTGTTATTCTTTTGGGAAATCGAAAAGTGCGATGCGGGCATTCTCAATATTAATATTTTTTGAGACTTATTTTGGCATCTAAACGAAAAACGAAAGGAAAAAATATTGTTTTTTTCTGAATCACCCTAATATACATACATTAATAAAGCGGAGATATTAACCCTGCCAGCATTCCCACGACAGCCGGTTCTACGTACCGGAATGACTCGGGTTTTACCCGACTAAGTGCTGTTGTTTCGGCGATCTAACCCCGTTTAGGGCGGTGAAATCCATCAAACGTTGCTCGATCCTAGGGCTACACCTTCTCAGCACCCTTCTGCTCAGGGCTGGCATAGAGTCAAACCCAGGGCCAGAAATCTACACCTGCTGCGTATGCCAGAGACGAATGCATACAAACTCCACCTCGGTCAGGTGCAATGCCTGTGACGGGTGGAGTCACCTCCGTAACTGCTCGGACAACAGACACACAAACAAACGCAATAGCACCCACACACCGCCGCCGGCAACTCCTAGTCCCTCCGACAATCTGCTCTGTTTGTCAGCCCAGAATATACCGTAACGTGACATCAGTCAAGTGCAACTCTTGCCTCGGCTGGTGCCACTTTAGGGCACGTTCATGACTTCGCAACACACGAGATTGGACGGGTGACTATGTGGGCCCCTGCTGTACTGCCGCGTCGCATCCATCCCCCGCGACGCCGCCAACCACCACCACAAGGCAGCACCCCCTTTTGCAGCACGTACATCAGGGGGCCGGCAGGCAACACACCTCTTTAACACCACACATCACAATCGGTCTCCCAAGGCACATAAACGTGCTACAATTTAACTGTAACGGACTCCAGAGCAAGATCGAGGAGATAACTGTCTTCATGGCAAGGCATGGAATATTAATAGCTGCGGTCCAAGAGACGAAGTTGCACGGCAATTCAACCCTGTTGAGTTGCGCCGGATACAACGTGCACCGTCGAGATCGCGAGCGAGATAACGGTGGAGGTTTAGCGTTCATCACGCACCACACCGTACAGTATCGTCTCATTGAAGCAGACATCGACCGCAGGGATACCATCCTAGAATGTCAGGGTATTGCTATCCGGTCAGGCGATGTTGAGCTCGAAATATTTAACGTATACATACCCCCTGTACAACGTATACACATGTCACCAGCTGCCCGGAAGGATATCACCCTGAAATAGGTGCGCTACTCAGAGGTGAAAACCGTATGGTAGTTGGTGACTTTAACGCGCACCACGATCTCTGGAATTCATCTGGCTGAGCAGATAGACGATTCGACATTCTGCACAATGAACGACGACGCACCCACCAGGATTATGGGCAGCTGCTGCAGCTCGCCAGATCTAACAATTGTCAGCGCTGGTCTGATAAACAGCGTATCATGGCGACCTATGCTGACTCTAGCATCAGACCATCTGCCCATAGTCATCTCGATTGATAAACCTGCCGACTTTGCTTCCGTGGATCACCGGACTTATGTCAACTTTTCCAAAGCTGACTGGAAAGGCTTCACGGATGTTACTGAGGGCGCCTTCACTGCACTACCCATACCAACCGACGTTCATGTAGGTGAGCGTAAGTTCCGCAGGGTTGTCACCGCTGCTGCAGCTCGCTTCATCCCAGCAGGATGTATTAAGGATCCACGTCCGAATTTTCCTGCCGAAGCGGCTGTTCTAGCTGATGAGCGCGACAACCTTCGTCAGGCCGATCCCGGAAATCCCCGTATTAGGGATCTCAATTCGGAGATTCGGCAACTTGTGAACGTACATAAGCGGAAGAAATGGGAAGAGCATTTGAAGACCTGCAACTTCGCCTCTGGTGTGAGGAAGCTTTGGTCAACCGTGAGGTCGTTATCCAACCCGACGAATCGCGACGACAGAGTCGAGATAGACTTCGGTGACCACGCTTCGTCGGGCCCGGAGAGATGCGCGAGCTATTTTAGCCGGCAGTTCATTCTGCATCCTCCGGTGGATAAAGCCAAACGTCGAGTGACCAGAAGGCTGCACAAAATGCCAAAACCCAGTGCGCCTCTTGTTTTCACCAGCGGTGAGGTAAGGGTAGCCATCGGGAAGGCGAATGCCTCCAAAGCCATTGGACCCGACGGAATATGCATGTTGATGCCGAAAAATTTGGGTCCTGCGGGAGACGCGTACCTACCGGAGGTCCTCAACCTGTCTATGGCCACTCTCGTCATTCCAGACATCTGGAAAATGGGGAGAGTGGTCCCACTGCTCAAACCGGGGAAACCAGCCAACAAAGGAGAGTCTTATCGCCCGATAACTCTCCTTTCCCCGGTAGCGAAGTCACTCGAGGCCCTGCTGCTCCCTTACTTCACGAACTACCTGACCCCAGCGAAGCATCAACATGGGCTCCGTAAAGTGCATAGTACAACAACAGCACTTAACGCCACAAACACTCAGATAACACAGAGAACTATTCTAGTAGCGTTGGACCTGTCCAAGGCGTTCGACACTGTCAGTCATTCAACGCTACTAGAAGATATAGAGGCCTCCTCACTCTCACAGGGACTCAAACGGTGGTCGGCGAATTTTCAGAGACAAAACTAGCAAGCCACGTAAAATTAAACAGGGGGTACCACACGGTGGTGTCCCGTCCATGCTACTGTTTAATTATTACATATCAAAGCTTCGTCAGCCACCAGAGGGTGTTAATATAGTCTCGTATGCTGACGATTGTTCGATCATGGCGTCTGGGAATGGAATTGATGACTTGTGCTCAAAAGTTAACGGTTACCTCTCCGAACTTTCTCGCTTCTTCACTGCAAGTAGCTTTGCCCTATCCCCTGCGAAATCCTCGGCAACCCTTTTCACCACCTGGACGAAGGAGGTCAGACTGCCACTGGGTATTCACGTCGATGGCGTAACAATACCGACGGTGAATAACCCGAAAATCCTCGGAGTTACCTTCGACAGTCTGCTCTCCTTCTCGGCGCATACAACCGCAATTGTCAACAAAGTACAGAGCCGCAACAATGTCCTCAAGTCGCTGGCCGGCAGCACTTGGGGCAAAGATAAAGAAACGTTGTTGGCAACATACAAGGCAATTGGCCGGCTTGTTCTAAACTACGCAGCGCCCGTATGATCGCCGGGGACTAGCAGGACGCAGTGGATGAAGCTACAGACCTGCCAAAACANCCGGTTCTAAACTACGCAGCGCCCGTATGGTCGCCGGGGACTAGCAGGACGTAGTGGATGAAGCTACAGACCTGCCAAAACACGGCATTACGAACTGCGACAGGATGCCTCCTGATGACGCCACAACACCACCTTCATGACGAGGCCCAGATGCTCCCAGTAAAGGAGCATAACATAATGCTCTGCAAGCGGTTCTTCGCTGGGAGCTACAGACGTGGCCATCCCAGCGGGCAACGGTAGAGATCTCGCCACTGCACGTCAGGAGGCATCTTTACGAACTGACAGACGAAGTCCAGAGGTATATCAAACAACCTCTGGACCCGTCAACTTACCGACAGGCCCTGAACGGCATTCACAGGGAATCAGTCTCAAGTTATGTAGACTCCCGCCCTGTGAATGCCTAGGCACACAAGCACCGGACGTGGACGGGACAGAAGTTGGTCTGCCTCGGGAGACCCGCACTACAATAGCCCAACTTCGTTCTGGCTATTGCATCAGGCTCAACAGCTACCTAAGCAGAATCAACGAGGATGTGCCCAACCAATGCCCGGCATGTGGAGAGTTGCCACATGACTCCCGGCACCTCTTCACATGCCCTGAGAACCCTACTCAGCTAACGCCCCTGTCCCTATGGACAGCCCCTTTGGAAGTAGCACACTTCCTGGGCCTCCCCCTAGCTGAAATAGACGACAACGTTGATGGATGAACCGCCCCGAACGGGGCTTAGTAGCCGCTACAACAACAACCCTGCGGCAACTGGAAGAGAATTGTATCGCCAATCGCCACGATGTAACTTCTTCGAGACTACTGGAAGTTATAGTAACACATTTCATTAAAAAAAAAAACAATTTCTATCGCTTGCTATCTTCGTAACAGGCGCTCGGACGATTTTTACTCTTTGAAGTTTTGAAAATTAACAGAGCAAATTTTGAAAGTTCATTGAAGTAAAATTATACATATTTCTATTTTCTCAATTCTTTTTTGATTTTTCAATTAACGTGCAAGAAATCATATTCTATGGTGAAATTATACCATTATTATTATTATTATTATTATTATCATTATTATTATTTATAATTTCTCCATAATCGTATGCGAATAACAAATATTAAATTACGTTTCATTTAAAACAAATGCGTTATTTTATTGCCATTTTCTCATGAAGTCTTGGAACTGTTTTTTTTTTAATGTCTATGTGGCTGGAATTACGTAGATAAAATATTGGTTTGAG